TTTTTTTTGTGGTTCAGCTGTCTCTAGTCGGCAATCAGGACAGGCATAACTAACGTTTTGACTATTGAAAAATTGTCTTCCTTGTACTAGTTCTGTGGAAAGCTTTGTAAAAAAGAGGAAGTCAACAAATACTGCTAGAATAAAGCTTTGAAATGATTATTCACAGGTCGCTTTACTCTTAGTCTGCTGGTAATTATCTTCAATTCTGTGAAGTAACCTTAAATTAACCAAGTAAAGAATGCTATCCATTTTTTGCTGCTTTTAAAGTAAACTATTGTTGTACCATTGAGATTTTTATTTCAAAACGTAGCTATCATGTTATTTGCCTGCAGTTGTGTGAACACAGTCAACTAATTTCGGTTATCCGCTTCTTATAATTGGAGCTTGTTTTCGCAAAAAATGTGCCAAGAACAACGTTTGAAATCAACTTCGTCTAATAAACGGAGTTTTTGCTACTGGTCGCAGGAGACTGGTGCAATATAGACAGGAAACTTTAATTCTGTTGAGAGTTTCCGTCCAAAATAGGAAACTGTATCTAAACTTTGCGAAGATCATTTAGAGAAGTGTCGAAAGTGAAATTCACTTGCCAGAAGCTACAAAATTATTACACTTTTATTAAACTTCTTTGGGTAAATTATACATTAGTTCAAGTATTCGTCACAAGAACTTGTCAGGCTGATGAAGAAGATACAGGTCAACTTAGGCATTAGAACAAGTGTGAAACAAAAATAGAAAAGTTCACTTTGGTCAGATTTAGAAATCTTTGTCAACTTTTCAATGGATATTTTTTTTATCTCCGGAGTATACCTAAGAGTTATCTGCAGTATTGTTAAGTACATTACGCAAAATATCAGCACAATTCGCTGCTAGTGAGGAATTTCATCTATGTATAACAAATTGAAGGTGCTATTTTAAAACGCTACAACAGCGATGGTCTTCTCATGTTTTCCACAATCGGTAGGATACTGCCAACGTTAGCTATCTGAAAAAAGGCAGTTTTAAAACACTTGATATGCGTCACCAGGGTAATAAATAAAACTGACCGTTCCTTACTCTGTTAGGAAGATTTACTTCATTGGAAAATAATAATATTCTTATACTTGCACTAAAGTTTCATTAGAAATGGTTACTTACCACATAGTCGGCAAGTGGCCTGAGTTCTTCTTGGTTACATATGCCAGACAACACCCCAACTGTTCCTCCTAAGTGTGCTGACCTACCCATTCCAAGATCAGCCAGAGTGTCACCAACGACCAAGGTATCCTAGAAATAACTGCTGTTTACGACTTTACAGCCCTTAAAT